TCCGCATGCACAACTAGCATTCCCTTTACACCACTTCTAAGGTCTCCCCATCGTTATTCGCCCCCCAAAGCAGTCGTTGAAGATGCTTGGGTGGTCTGAGCAGCACACCGAAACCAAATAGCTGCGTCCGAAGACGGCTCTCCTAAGGTATTTGAGCGACTGACGGACGGGGCGAGGATTGAGGAAGGATTCGCCTCGATACTATTCTAGTCCACGTGCTGGAACTATTCGTTAGCCATGCTGCGAATTAGAGGGTTAGAAGGGTTGGACACTGGCACTCACTAGTCACTACTAGCGAGAAAGACTCGGAGTTGAGCGGAACAGCCATCAAGCGTTCCCAAGAGACCCCAAATGAATAGTATGTCCTAGAAGGGAATTTGAGCCTATAGTCGAGACGCGCGAAAGGTTACTGATTGGCCAGCAAAGCTGGTGGAGGTAATGATGGCCGTCGAGGACAACGTTGACGTCGATCAGAACTTGTTGATCAAAGTTTGGCTTCGTCTTGGCTTGCTATCAACGAGCCGCGTCAATTTATTGAAAAAAGCAAAGGTATCAACCGAGTATTTTGTCTGTCTAAACGTCCCCGCTGAACGAATAGTATCCCAACTTGTCATGCGACAGACCTCGAAGCTACTCGGAAGCACCTTGCCGTTGGGATGGTATTTGTTGGGGATGCAGTCATAGATTGGATCGTAAGACTAGCAGACGCCGTGCATGTTTTGAAGATCCATTAGTGTGTATACCCGGCACCGGTCTTGATACGACGCCTTGACGTCGAAACGTGTGTGTCTATCTCCTCGTTGGTAGTTGCTCTGAACGTAGCATCTCCAGGCCCTTGTTAATCCTTCTCTCCGTTGAAAATAATCCCCGAAATTGAAACGATGACCGCTGCTTTTCGACAAAAAATGGATAAAAAATGGCTACGGTGAACGCCTTTGATGTTTGTTTGCTAGTTCAGGACTTCCAATTACAACAAAATACCCTGCTCTCTGGCAACCCAGGAAACACGGGCACAACAAAGGATGATAAAACGACGTAGCAACCATAACATCCTAGCCCAATCGCAACCAACGCACCCGCCGACCACACCAATAAGAAGACGCACAAAAAAATCCACATGAAAAAACCTGTTTCATCCGGTCCTGCTAACCCGCCCTGCCAAATCTTGAACATACCGTACAACCACATCGTGGACCATGCAAATGGTGGGAATAGGGCCACTGCATGAACGATGGTATGCAATGTTATCCTGAACGCAGAAAAGACTGGGATGTATCCATTAATTTCGGTTCTGCGCGTCATTTCAAGGAAAGAAAACTTACGAAGGTCGCAGATCACTTGAAGACGCGGCCCAGGACTCTTGAATGGGGAAGTTGCCTCTTGGAAAAGCGTGGATACTTTTTGGAGCCACTGGCTTCTCCAAGAATTTCCTTCTGTTACACCAAGAATTTCAAGTTCTCCTTCAACGGATACTTGGTCATGTAAAGGAGTATACGATGGTCGCCAGGCGGCAAACAGGGGCTCAATTTGTTCCGTGTACCAAGGCCTTAGCACTTGAGAGAACTTCCGCACGATAGGATCAACAACCAATCTCACATATGGGGCTATAAAGTAACCCATTGAAGCCACGATCGCAAAACATCCAACAATCCCGATGATGAAGGCGATGGATGCCATGACTGTCCAAACACTAACGGCGACAGCGGCGAATAGAGAATCGAACCATGACAGTTGAACAGATGACTTCTCAGGCGGTGTTGGTGGAAGGGTGGAGGGCGTATCACTTTTGTCGAAGCCCAAGATGCCTCGAATCCCGGCAAACCATAAGGAAGCCCATGTTTCTGCCAGGACGAGCGCTACGAGGTGGCTAGCGACGATGAGGACGATCTTCAGAAGGGTGACGACTTGGTATCTAAAATTAGTTTGACGCGATTGAAATGAAAGGCGAGTGCTTACGAAATGGAACAATTCCTTTCACAATCTCTGATAGCTTGTCACTGAATGCTTTTGAACTCCATGAAGCAGTCGAGCAGCTTGGTTTGACGTCAACGAGGTAAATTGCGTCCGAATCATCTGATTCGAGTTTTATGGGCGAAACTGCTAGTTCTAAGTCGTTAAAGGGCTGGGTAGGAACGACCATTGAGCTGCAAGTCGGAATTACTAGCACTTAGAATGACAGGAGGAGCCTCAGAAACAGCAAGGAAGGTGTGCAAGTTGTGGTTGTGAGAAATCTTGATGGCGTGTGTGTGTCATGTGACGTTGAGGCTGTGTTAAGAAGGAGTATAGATAAGATAAGAAAACATTAGACGAATTTCAAACGAATTTGAGGAAGGTTTGTATGGGGAGGAGGGGTGGAAGATGAGTGCCGAGCAGTAACCAATTTTCGTGGAAGCCACGTATGAGAGGGATATCATGTCCATCTTCTTTCCCCCATAAATAATTATCCGTCGTATTTAGTCTATGTATACCTCCTAGCACTGGGTTAGGCTTCGGACAATGAGGAGCCTTTTGCTTTGTCATTTGTGTCGTTCAGGCGGTCATTCTGAAAACACTATCGAATCGGTATATTTATTTACTGCATCCCAGCCAACAAGTCAATATCTAATATCTCGTCGGGTCGAGTCTCGGTCTCTGTTCAGTAAGAATTTATACAAGGCTGCGTAGCAAAAGAAGTGATTTCATACCATGATATTATATTGTCGGATGGAACTGTTCAATAAAATGTTATTAATGACGGATGGAGAGAAAAAAATGTGATGTTCTTCACCAGGGTTTTTACAGCGGGTTAACCTTTGAAATGTTATTAAAGATATAGAAACAAAAAGGGGATGTT